AGAACTAAACGCGTAAGCTGGTTAGAAACATGTGTGATGCGTATTTCTTTTGGGCTTTGCTTCCTCTGCCTCAACCCTGCCCTAAATAAGCAAAATGGTGATGTATTAAACAGGCATGTTCAATGGATTTACTCTGGTGTTGTTTCTGAAGGAGGAGACTGGTAATCAGGATGGTCCCTTCTGGGAAGAGGAGGGGACCATGGGCAGGGAGGGGAGACAAGACGTGGGAGGAAGGGCACGACTCCAGCCTGAGCAGAAGCAATGGTGAGGTGCCCTTTGGGAGGTTGCAGGGCTGAACTCGATGTTTAAACCCCAATATCTAATGCAGGTCTTGCTCTGAATCACAAATACAGTGAGTTGCTTTCATGAGAGAAAGACCACAACCCTGATCCAAAACCAGATGGAGGTCACTGGGCAGACTGGTTCAGGCACCTGAAGGTGCCCAAGAGGAGCAGGGAGGGGATGGTGGTAGCTTGGACTTGAAGCCACAGATGGATGAAAGAAAAGAAAGAGCAAGGATAATTTGCTTTTTGTTTCTTCTTTCACAGGAAAGCCTTGCTGCAGCAGAGGAGGAAGAGGAGGAGCGCTTTCAGCGGTGAACAACACACAGGAGATGGCTAACCTGGGAAAAAAATGCCAGGGATCTTTGCTCTACTTGCTTTCCCATGGTAATATGTTTGTGAAACAGACATTTCAGCAGTGGGAGTCTAATCACGCTGACTTGATCAGGTGTCCATTTTAATTTTTAAGAATTTAGCTGCGTAAATGCAACTGTCTGAAGAGAGGTTTATCACCATTATAACTAAGCAAAGATAATTTATGAGCTGCCATGTGCCTTTTCCTCGTCATGAAATGATTACATGGTGCTCAAAGCATTCATTAGTGAAGAGTTTTAAGTCTATTTCCTGGGCTTTGTCTTCCAGGAGCCTTGCAATTTTGCCATATTGCAACAAGCCACTGATCTTCTCCTCAGCTTTCTGCCCATGAGCAAGGCCTTTCAGCTGCCAGAGATCAAAAAAAATAGGTGGGAGCTGTCAATAAGTCAAGGCATAGTGAGGAAATATGGTCTGGACAGCCAGGCTGGGACACCATGGGATCATGTTTTCGCAGGTCATGCTGGGAAATACAACCCAGTAGGACACAGGTGCCTGAAACAAATCCAAACACATGCAGTGAGGTTCATTGCTTATACAACCCAAGATGGGATTGGAATTTTTACCCTCCCCACCAGCAAGAGCCTTCTGAACATGCACATGGTGTGCACCCACTTACATTGCTAACTAATACGCACAGGCAGCCAAACTGCATTCAGAAACAAGAAGCAGACAATCTGGAACAGAATTCACGCTATCTTCTTTGTGGCCAGCGGGAAAAATTGCCATAGGCAGCGGTTTATTAAAAACATGATGACAAAAAGAAAAAAAAGAAGAAAAAAAAAAAAACAAACCTAGCAGGAGAGAAAGAGCGAGCTAAGGATCAGGAAGTAAATTAATCAATGTCCCTCTGGAAGCAGAGGAAGCCCTTGGGTCCCAGCACAGCTGGCTTGACAAGAGGACAATATTGCAGGTGTTCTACATGTGGCCCAGTTTGTTTCCAGGAGCATTCAGAATAATGATGTCTTAATGCCTTTCCTTTTCCCTTCCACCTCAGAATCTGGGTCATGATGGTTTTTTCTTTTATCATTTGTGTCTGCTCCAGCAGCAACTGGGAATATCCTAGAAGGAGATGAAAAGTGGACTTGGCAGTCCTAGGTTAACTGTTGGACTCTATGATCTTAGAGACCTTTTACAATCTAAATACATCTAGGGTTCTATGATTCTATTGTGCCTGGAGTTATGTGAACTGATAACACAGTGGCAGGCTGTGCTGGGAAAATTTGCCATTCAGTTTAGACCACTGCATGGTTCAGCAGTAAACCCTAGAATTGCACAGCTGGAGCATCCCTGCTGTGCAGCCTGGTGAAAAAAATGCTGACTTACATGCTAATTAGGAGCTGTTTACAGAAGAGTGTCAAATATCATAGTTAGAATAAGCAAGGTAGGCAAAAACCTTAACTGAAAAAAAAAATATTGGAAGGATATAGTGTACTTTATTTCAAGGATATAGTGTACTTCAAGGCTGAAACGTCTGTGGAGTTTGCCTGCTATATTTTCTTGCTATACTTTATATTTGGCTTTGTAACACTTAGTTTGCCATGTTGTTATGCCCAAAAGTCTTAGACTTTGAACTAGTGTAAACAGGCTGTCAGGGCTTGAAGCTCTTTTGCCAATGCGCAGCCAGCAGCAGGGACTGGTGCGGGGTGGCCACTGCCACCAGGGCACTGACAGACACTGGGGCTGACTACAGACTGAGCCAGACAACCAGCAAGCACAGTGTCTGGTTCCTGCCAGACTCAGTTATTCTGCAATTCTGCTCAACTCATGAACGAAAACACCTGGGTGCCTGTTTGGGTTCAACAGGAGATATTCAGCACAGCTCTATGGAGGTTTGGCACCAAAATACAGTCCCTGAAAAAGATGGTGATGTCTGGAGAGTTTTGAATGTCTACATCAGGCTTAGATTCAAGCTATGTCATGCTAGAGGCAATTTGAGGGGGTGGAAGAAAGGTGTCTCTCTCTTTGTTCCCGTAGTGCTTGTGTTCTGCACGGCTTTCATTGGAGGGGTAGCAGCTTAAAAAGGGGAAAGCTCTGACTGGAGATCAGCAGCTGTAAGGCAGAAGCACGTTAATCATACAGCTCTTTGTGACACAGATTTAGAGGGCTGTCTTCCATCTCACTTCAACACCAGCACCAAAATGACTGAGTTTTACCTAAGTAAGAACTTATCTGCACTGAGACTTGAGCAACTAAAAGTAGGAACCCTCTTCTCCCTCCTCTGAGACTAGGGAAGGTTTTACAGTGCCGGGACTTAACTGGCCAGTGAATTCGGGTTCTGCTGAAGGGCAGGATGGAGACGTAGCAAAGCAGGACACATGAGCATGACATTTAGGCCTCTGGTGGGAAAGAACAGGCCTGAATCATTTTAGGATAGAGTTCATTTTAGGAAGAGCCCTCTCCCTATTCTGGATGGTCCAGAGACGAAAGACAAACTCAAGTTGGTGTTATTTTATTTGCTCCAATAAACATTTGATTTATACAAAACAAAACAGACCAAAAAAAATCCAAAACTGTTTAAAAGCAAGTTAAGTGCTTGAAACTTTTGATATACGAGAGTATATGTTGTTTACATTCCTATTTCATACAGGACGTACAGGTGAAATTTTCCTTAAAAGAATAAAAATTTTCCTTTACATGTAGTAGTAAAAAAAAAAATTTCCCTTAAAAACGTCAGTATTGTCAAGAACTACCGGATGCCATTCCTTGGCCTTCGGTGTGGATGGAGGAAGAGAAATGGGCTGAGACAATTCCTCTCTTCCAGCTCTGGGCATCCGAGGCAGTGACGGGGAGCGGCGCAGCGCTAGAAGGCAGGGGGTCTCGTCACTGCCTGCAGCCCTGTATCCTACAAAAAAACCCAATCCCCACCCTTATAAAATTTGACATAGTATCCTCTGAATTCCACTGTGGTTGTGAGGTTTTCCCTGCCACAGCTCTATTTAAATTTGAGTAGTTTGGTTAAAATGAGAAAAAAAAGAAAAAAAGAAGAAAAAAGCAGATATAAAACCATTTTGAATAAAATATCTGTCATCATAAATCTTAACTCCTATCTGAATAAGCATGGCTCCTATTGACTTACACGGCAATGTCTTCTAGAGAAATATCGACGTTTATCTGCCAAAGATGTTTAATAAATTACACCAGATGCATCTGTACAGGACTGGTTTGTGCTGGCTGAATTTCTAATTTCCAAGGCCTGCTTACATGCCACAGGGAAGAAAAAAAGTGAAAAAAATCACTGCAGAGCTCCTGAAGACAAAATTATCACTTATTAAACACACTGCTGTCATTTGTATAGACCCAATGTGATGTCAACTGTCTTAAACGGTTTGGAGAACTGAAAGAATGTAAGCAATGTCTGAGGGATCCTTTTGGAATGAATAGTCTTTCTTGAGTTTTGGGTGATTTTTTTTGTTAATTGCTGACTTGCTGAGGGCGACCCTTCATGCAAGCAGCGCTGAGGGCAGGATATGCCATTAACCTCCTGCTACGGAGCTTTCCCTCACGTCCAAGGTCCTTTTGCAGAAATAAAGGCACCAGCTGTTGTCTCTTACTTTTCTCTATAAAGTGTGGAACAGAGTCAGACTGTGGTGTGTCAAGCAACTAGACATGTTGTACAGGGAAAAAAAAAATTGTTCTTACAGCAACACAATCAAGGTAAAAGGAAAGAAAAAAGATAGCATTGCCTGCACTCAGAATGCACAGCAAATATAAAACATCTGCTTGGATTATTGCTGTCCCTGTCTGGTTTGGTGGTGGGGATGGGAGGAGGGGAAAATGCATCCTGCACATATTTTGCAACTTACTTGCAAGCAGCACGACTTCAAACCAATAAACATATAACATAAGTGACCTCTGTATCAAAACAAACGCTTGGGAGGGACCAAGCGTCCTCGCACTCCAGTTCTGGGACATTGTGAGGACGACAGGGTTAAGGTAAGAGGGCAAAGGTATCCCTGAACCTTCCAAAACGTGCTGCAGACAGGACTGCGTAGCTACAACTGCGAAGCCAAACTGGCCCGGCTGTTGTGAGACTGCTGCTCCTGCATCTGCAAAGTGCAGGGCCACAACTGGGTGGTTCCTGCACATGCTTTGAAAGTCATCTTCTTATTGCAGATTAGTCCAAGCTTTTTGGCAGAGCGCTTAGTGCACAGCTGCTGGTGTTATGCTACACCAGTCTCCCCAGGCTCCTTCCCTAAGGCGGAGGGACCTCTAATGCACCGGTAAATTCCTGGAAGCACTTTTTTAAAAACTCTTTTTTTTTCAAAGCACGGCTGTTTACATATATATATATAGGTAGAGAGACAGATATATACATACACACACATTTTATAGATATATATGTGCGTATATGTATATATATAAAAATAGCATTTTCATAGTTATATACAGGCATTAATAAAGTGCATAATGTTATTGGCTATTTTGAAATCTTATTTCCTGAGGAAGTGCTAACATACGTAGCTCCTCCTACGGCATGATGCTGGCAGCCAATGCTAGAGTATGACACTTACTCCCTGGCTCTTCATTCCCATGAGTACATCTCCCTGTCCAGAGCTGGAGCCTAAAGGGAGTAGTGACAGCCTCAGTCCTCCAGGAAGCAAGTCAAGGCATCGAACGAGACTTCTTCCTTTGCCAAGGTGAACGTTCTAGGAGCGACTTCTCTCCATTTTGGAGCTCTCAGGTTCACGCTACTTGGCAGTGGTCACAGAGCCATCTTCAGGGATCTTCTCCTCCGAACAGCTTCTTCCCGAGAGCTTGTCGTGGTGTTTGAGCTCACTGAAGCGCTCGGCGACGCACTGTGCTGTGAGCCGGGCCTCGGGGTCGTGGTCCCAGCACTCAATAAGAGTTTCACACACCATCTGGATGCCCTGCAGAGAGCACAGAGAGAGCAGCCGTGATGGGGCCAGTCACCACCAAAGCCCATGTGGGAGGTTGCTTTAATGCCCTCTGAAGTTCAGGGGGTTACTCATGTATGTTCTGGATGTCCTTCATGGGCTCTGCTGCTACTGTCATGGGGATATGCTTTTTTACTCTTTTCTTTTTAAAGTAAGAAACTCTACTGCAACATTTTCAGCACTTTAGTTTGTACTGTCATGTTCTGATACTTTATAATAAGAAAAATGATGTTTTGGACTAGTACTATAGAATCGAGTCAGGGAGGTTTAATAAATATGATCACAATTCTTGGGTAACGTGACTTCCTGCTCAGCCCATGCCTTTGCATGTCTGAATTCTGTCTGGGTTTTCTGAACAAAATCGTGATTGCCAGCAGTATCAGGCCCTACTTTAGCCCTTTCTAAATTCCTTGCAGACTACCTAAATCTATGTGCAAATATGGGCCACAGTCCCACAAATGCTTAAACACAAGTCACTCACAGATGTAACTATTTAACCTTCATTTCAGTGCTGATGCACATGTTTACGGGAGCAAAAACCAGTTGCGTCTCTGTAATGCATTTTATAAACATAAGGTATTTGCCAGCAAATTGTGTGCTTTGCTTTATGACACTAAAAGCCCATTAAGAAGGATTTATCTTAAACTTCTCATTTAAAAAAATAACATTTCACAACACTGCATTAATTGCATAATTTACCTAATTGCTGATGTTGACTGATGTCAATGTTAATAACAGAATGATATTGTCTGTATACAAATAACATTAGTTTTCTGCCGGCATTGAAATTACAAGCAGTAAATTAAATTAAATATTAAATATTAACTGGAAATCAATAGTGCAACAAATCTCATTAAGGGGGGAAAAAAAGAGCAATATGTAAATCCATTCCAGAATTTTATCATGATGAATAATGAGTTCATTACACAAACATGACTGCAGAGAAGGAAATGAATATGGAAGAGCCATTACAGTACAAGTAACTTCCATGGAGTTCAAAGCAGATCCTCAGCTGCTGCAAACTGTCACAGGCCCACAGAAGCCGATGCATCGCTGCATTTTAGATAGCGCGATGTGAAACGGTGACGGGATGCAGACGAAGGGAATTAAATCCACCATCATTAAATGTCCTCTGAACCTGTTGCCAGGCATCCGTTTCCTGCCTTAGGTGCTCAGCTGAACCCCGAAGGACCTGGCTGTGCCCAAGGGCAGGTGACACGGTCACAGTTGGTGGGCTGCCCTGTCCTAGGGGCAGACTGACCTCTGCGTTTGACACAGGGAAGAAGTCCCTGAAGTTGAGCGCAGGACACCTAGGTCCAAATCTGTGATCATTTTGCCTGCTACCTAAACCCAGAGCGTGTCTAAATTCACAGTGCATCTTACAGCTCTACTCCAGTACCTTGAGCTGCAGCCCTCCGCACACTCAGGCTCGCTGTCACTACAGCAGCCACAGGGCTGCCCCATGCCCAAGCACGACGGGGATCGCAAGCCCTGCCCTGAGCGTGCCGGCACACCTACGCCTGCTGGCACACCTGGCTGGGCATGAAACAAGCTCCTGGATGCTTGTCTCCAAGGCATAACGGTGGTTCCCATTTCTACTGTCATGTAATGCAGTGCTCCACCACCGTGCCCGCAGGAGTAGCCCTGTCCCAAACATGGACAAATCTCTGGGCCACCTACCACTGCCCCAGGCCTGCTTTAAGTGCCAATGACTTTTGCTTTTAGGGGCCTTCATCACCTTCTATTACATGTACATCGTCTGACTCTTCCCAAATGCAGAACAGAAATATTTGCTGACCGCTTCTGACTTTGTATTAGCATAAGCAGTATCTTTCACAGCCAGCAACAAATTGGTACTAAGTCAGATTTCTTTTTGCTCTCGAGAAAACTCTGATTATCCACAAGTTTGCTGACTGCAGACTTTCCTGGTGTTCTTCTGTTTCCCTAAACAGTTCTCTAGTCTTCCTTAATTTTTTTCAGGAGACCATGTCTTTTGAATATCCCCAGAAATGTTCTCACACTGTTCTTAAAATTAAGCATTTCCTACTATTTTTTTTTTCTCCCAAATGATCTGAATCAGGATTCTTTTCTGCTTTGTTAATTGGGCTCTTCCAAGGTATCACATTCGTATTATCAGTTTGGACTTTGTTTTGCCTTTGTGGAAAAGAAACAATTGCAGTCAATTCATAATCCCTTTTACTAGCTCATCCACAATTTTTATAAAATCTCTGCAACCAGTTCTTTTCTATAAGGATAAGCATTAGTACAATTTCTCCTTCCCAGCTCAACTTGTCATTTAGAGGATAGTTGTATCTACAGCTCCCAAAAATGTCAAAGGCTTTTTAGTACTGGTAATATCATATATCCCAGTGTCCCTCAAAATACAGCTCTCTTCCCCAGTTAAAGGCCCCTCCTCAGTAACCCTACTCATCACAGATGACTACATAAGGAGCAAGGCCCTGGGGCCCAGGAAGGGGCTGCACTCTGCCATTGTCTTCAAGTAGCAGATGTGTTGTTCTTGGTCGGAAAGATGATTGATCTTGGCCTTTCTTAAGTAAGTGTTAGACTACGATTTTAACATCTCATCTAGAAAGAAAAAGGGAGTGTTACATTGCTTCTGGTGGAAATACGAATGATCTTGGTTGTCTGGGCTTTAGAGATGTTCACAATATTTTCCTTTTGTCTGCAAAGACCACTCAACATACTTTATTGACAAGTGGAATGACTAAGTCTTACTTCTTGTCTGATACGATTCTCATTTTATCTCTACCAATAAAACTGCTCAGAGCAAAGGTGAAGAAATGCAATGCCTTTGACTTGTTTCCGTTCAGTTTCATCTACTGAGAAATCTACTATTGCCTAGGAAGCGTAACCATGGTGTCTGTGAATGAGGAAAGCTGACAGAATGCTTCACAACATGCAAAGGAAAGAAGACTGCTAATGTGCAACCTGAATAAAACCAAGCTGGCTTGCTGAAGACTCATTTCCTATTTTCTTAAACCTGTCAACAGCTGGGACACAACTATGACTACTCGCCATGATAAAGTACTGAGATTTGTTTTCTCTGCTGAAGGGGCCCATGTGTTAAGTTGTTCTCTTTGACCTTTGAGAGTCAGCACACAGTGTGCTTTAAGGCCCTAACTATTCTGTGGCTGGCTGGATGATTGTCAGGTCTCTGGTTTCCAATCTTTTTATTTTGATCACTTTTAGATTATGCTGGTGGGCAGCAAAAATCCCAGGGCTTTGGGGCAAGTACAGCGCAGAGCACTGTAGTGTCTGAACCACAGGCAGCACCGGTGCCACCATGAGACAGAGCTCTAATCCGTGCAAAACAGAGGTCCATCCTGTTGGGCAGGGCACTGAGTTAAGGCTCAGGCTTTGGGCAGCAGCTAAATGTGTGGTGCGGCTCCTGGCTGCTCACACGCGACGCTCCTTACCGAT